TTTTTTAAATTCTATTTGCAATTAATTTATTTCTTATTTGTTGTAATCTAACTCTTAAAAATTGTTCTATGAAATTGTACTATGTATGTCTAAAGACAGAGGCCTCATCTAATCATTAAAAGCATCTCATATTTTTTCGAAAATACTTTTGTTTTCTATATATTCCTCTTAAATCATATATATAAATATATATTCCCCTTGTTATTTCAAGTTATTCCTTATATCGTATTTTCTTATTGCTTGTAACATTAATGATAAATAAGTCTTTCTCTCTTAGGTTGCAAAAGGAAATTAGAGAGTTCAATCATAAAGGTTAATGACAAAACTAAAAATTTTTATGTAAAAGAGAGGAAAAGTTTTCATGAACTTGAAAGAAAGTTATCGCAGGTTATAAAGATTAATCAAAAGCATTCAAGAATAGTGCAAATCCATTTAAAAAAAAAAAAACAGGATGCATAAGATATATATATTTTTTGCCTTTTAAAATTAGCAATACTTAAATGTTATTTAGTTACTTATTCCTCATAATAAAATGACAAAAAGAAATAAAGAAAGAAAAAATGAGTAAATGCAAGTTCAATATTATGGGTCATGGTCCATTTCCTATGGCTTTTTTCCAACAATAGCAACAACTTCTTTTCATAGTAGATTCAATTAAAATGCGGATTTAATTTTTATGGAATAAAATCAACTCAAAAAAATTCTTTCCTATTAAGAACACAAAATATATAAATTATATAATTGTGTCTTCTTTTACATATATATTAAGGTTAAAAGACCATTTTAGTTTATATACTATTTATTTTTGTTCAATTTGTCCTTTGCCACAATTTTGCATTAATTTAATCTTTATATTTCTAAAGAATGTTCAAATTAGTTCTTCATTGTTATTAACATCTAATATTGTTAACTTCAGATGTCATACATAAGATTTCTTGACACATAAAATTTTTTGATAGGCTATTAACACAATTAGATGTCACATAGCAGCTGACTTTGTAAAAAAAGTATGCATATGGAGTGGTTCAGGCTAGTCAACACTAAAAAAAGTCCTAAATAGTAATCAATGGTAATCGTTATTTTCGTCTTTTCACCATGTGTAGTCTAAGCACTATCACTACTATGCTCATGTCATAAAAACTAGCCCAATCACTAGATAGCCACTTATTTTTTTATCTTTGCTCGCAATCCATCTACTCAAAAAAAATAGAATATCCAATAACAAACCTTGAAAAGCGAGACTCATTGTATATTTTTCTCCTTTTATGGGATCATCAACAAGACTAAATCTCAGCTAAACCTTTTTTTTTTTCCTAAAGCACTAGTGACTCTCTTTATCTATTCTCTCTTTGTTACTTCCATGCTCTTTCTTGGCCACCTTGGCGACCTATACCTGGCTATCGACTCTCTTATTATTTTCTTTGCTAACATCACTTCTTGTAATTTGGGGTATTCGAAAAGATTTCCTTATGATATAAGAGAAAATAGGAGGCTTTTTAGAAAGGAGGAGAGGAATCAGATAAGAAATAGAGAGAACAACCAAGGAAGGGGAAGAAAAAAATTAAGAAAAAAAGAAGGGTCGAGGGAGTTATTAAATTAAGCTATCTCAAGATTTATGGGTCCTTTTTTTGGTAAGGTTTTAGAAACCTTATATTCAATTATGGAAAACAAATAAAAAAGAGAGTCATTTGCCACTAGCCTACTAGTAAACATAAATCAAGTCGTACTTTTTGCACAAATTGTTGTCGTAAAGTGTTTGGCCATAAAAGTAATTGCACTCAACATTCGGAACTCCATCCTTAACCTCTACGTCTTGTCACTTTTATTGACCTTGTGGAATTGGAGGACAAAAAGCTTTAGTACTTACTTCTTGTGCTTCTTGGCACCTTCTTTGAGTTGGAGCACCAGGTGCGGGATGGACTTCGACAATGTAGTCCACAAAGATTGTTGGTTCAGTGAAAGATCGAAGTCCTTCACATTGTCGATTGTACTTGTTGACCAATCTGAACTATTTTACATGGATATGTTTTGTCACGTCAAATGCCACATCTAACTCAATTATTAGCCTATCAAAAAATGTTAAGAAATTTTTCAAGTGGCATCTGAAGTTAATAGTATTAGACATTAATAATGGAGACAAACTAATTAGAATATTCTTTGAAAATATAGGGACTAAGTTAATACAAAATTGAGATAAGGATCAAATAAAAATAAATAAATAAATAATGTGGAGACAAAATTATGTTTTAGCCTCTGTAATAATAGTAGAATAGATGTAAGTATTAATTTTTTGAATTTTATTAGAGATTTAAGCTATGCTCGGTCCATGAAAGCGTTTTATAATACAAGTTTTACATAATTCCATAGATGAAAATATACAGATATAAAAAAAAAATAACGTTTAAAAAAAATAAAATCCAAATTAATATTAATAAATAAATACATAAAGACACAATCTTTGAATCCAGCAGTAGTACTTATCCATCTCCAACATAAAAAATGTATATACTTTTTGTAAAAAAGAAAATTTATTTACACAACCAGACTAATCTTTGAACAATTACATTTTTATGCATTTCTAAGGATCCAATTTTTATGGGTTAAATACGATGTGGTCTAAATTGAGAAGAACGCAAATAGAAAACCACATAAATATGGGCTTTTACTTGGGAGTGTTTAGTTTTTTTTTTTTTTTTTTTTTTCTCATTATCATAAATAAACTGGTATGAATTTGGTAAAGACACATAGACATCGTATAAACTATCAATTCAATGAAAATGACAAAAAAAATATATAATTTTATTATTTTTTATTTGTAAAATTATCTTTTACTTCAAAATCATTTGTTTATATTTTATACTAATTTAAAACATAAATTAAATGTAAAATAATATTTCATTTTTAAGTATTTATTTTTATTTTGTATTCATATTTATTTATGATTTTTTTCTATGTGTTGGAAGTTTTTTTAAAATTGTTAAAGAATATTTATAAGAATTTTTGAGTTGTCTGACTAATAAATTGTGAAATGCGTAAAAAAATTTTAAAACGTTGTTAGAACATGATACAAAAACTAACACAGCCTATTGTTTAATATATAAATATGTACATAAACATTTTTAAAAGTTATCTGTAAAATTTCATCTTAATTTAGCATAAAATAAATTACTAAAGGGATCATGACACAACCAAGGGACTAGTCTCATTTGTTTAATTATGAAGATTGGCTCCATGGTTAATAAAATAATTATTTTGTGACAGCCTGTAGTCCCATTGGGGAACTACAGTAGGTCAAACAAACACCGACTAAATTATGACTTACTTGAAATTAAGCGAAACACAAATATTCTGATTCAAAGACTAATATACATCTTCCCTCGTCTGAAAAAAAATAAAAAAAAAAAAAAAAAAAAAAGAGAATTTGAATGGAATAAGCATGTACAATGTAGTAGATTATGCCCTATGCATACGCATACAAGCACACAATCAAATATACATGTAAAACTGATCTTATCTTTTTAGAAAACAATGAGTTTCATACAAGTAGATTTTTAATCCTAATCTATTTTTCGAAAGTTTTCGTATTTCTAACATTTTATTTAACATTTGATGTAAATTC